GTGAACAGCATGAGTAGGGATGTCGGCCGTTGGCGGAGGAGGGTATATGGTTGATCCTGGCCGCGCACGTACTAAAGTCTGAGAGAGAGGGGCCGAGCATGCGAATGAGCGAAAGAGAATGGAACAGTGCAAGAGGGTTTGGCAACGATGCATTACTGGCATACGCATGGCAACGTCGCAAAAGGCTTCATGGACACCAAGCAATCCACCAACACACGAGTGTACGGAGAACGGCAGACCAGAGAAGGAAAGAATCCCGTTTTACTGAGTTGAAGGAGATAGAAAGAAGGGGAGGGGACCAAACACGAGAGAATGAGAGATCTACTGAGTCTTAAACAGGCTACGAAGTTTTCCACCGATCTCATGAGATTTTAGAAAAACGTTTGACATATTCTAAGTACATACAAATACATGCATTTATATACATACACAGAAGTGATATAGTTTTGTTCATTTAACGCGCACCACGCACATTGTATCGTATATTCGGATGTACTATTATCGCATATTGTATCGTCTATTGTATGTTTCAAGAAGTAAAAACGTGTTGTATTATCATACACTGTTACTGAATTTGAAACGTGCAATTATTACAGCAATACATTATATTCGCCCTGAAAACAATTTTAATACCTTCAAGTGCATGTAATTTTCATCTGTCCATTAGATGCAGATTTGTAAAATCATGGAATCTCGAATTGAAACTACTATTTAAAGTCTAACATACAACTCTATTTATAGTGTTCGAATTTGAAGCGTAGATTAAATTTAATCAAAATGTTACTTCTAAGTACATAAGCTTACCTACATATAAAATTCACAAGTTTGAGTAAGAAGAAAAAGGATTATTTAGAGTATGGTACATATAAAATCAAGCCTAAACACTAAGAATCCAGAGACGTAGAATATACAAGAAGTTGTTTCCTATATCATTCCTTCATTATTGACATATACCCAATTTTATACAATCATTATTTTGATTCTTCTTTTGTCAATGCAAATGCACCACGTTGCGGTATTTAAGTATCGCTAATCGATACATTACATACCTTACACCGAGAAATAATAATAAAAGTGGAACTCTAAAACAATAACACTGATTACTCGATGGCGAAAGGGCGTGGCAGTGCCATTGAGTCGTTACACGCAGGAATAGAGCTAGTAGTGGGATAATACGTGTGATTGCGATATTTGTGTGCGCGCACGCGTCATATGTGTGTAAGTGAATAAGCGAGAAAGAAAGGAAAGAAGGAACGTAGGAGAGAGAAAGAAAAATCGAAGTGCAAAAGAAACAGATAGAATAAGGAGCGAGACGAACGATGAAAAAGAGAAGCAAAAATGAAGGGAGAAAGAGGAGGCGGTAGAAGTGGCGGAAACTCGGAGCGGTAGAGTGCGGATGGGGACAAGGATGAACCATCTTAAAGGGGATAGTATGAATCATAAGTAATCAATATTATACCTACGACCGATATAGAAAAAATTTTGATGACATTTAACTGCTGTAACATTTCAAAAACCTTATATTTTAGAATTTTATTTTATTTTTAAATAATACTCGTGTAATAATGAAACGTCTTTGGTACAAAACATATTAACTGAAATAGGGTTGAAATTTTTGCAATGCTTTTTAGATGCAACTATGTTGTAGTTTATATTAAATATTTCAAATTTTATAAACGTAACGTAATAAGTTTTGTATATATTAAATTGTTCATAAAATATACATGGAAAGTTCCATAATTTAAGTAGCTCCCTTTAAACGTAACAATTATATTTATTATAGTCATTAAATAAAAATATGTAATAGTAACAATTTTTAATTAAATATATTAAAAATATTATGG